CTGGGGGAGATGGTACGTAATAAAGTAGATGAAAATTTTTCAAGTAATTGTTTTATATTTAATTTTTAAAAATGACTCCGGTGTCTTTTTCTTTCCATTATCTTATCATGCATAGCAAGTATTTCGACGCTTCGTTTTGCCTCCGTGTTAAATTTTCACGTATCTTACTTTGCCATGTTTTTTTTATTCAATTAAATTAATTGTTCTTTAGAAACGATTTGAGCAGGAAGATTACAATGAAAACACCGTTTTCCGAAAGAGACAAACACAATTAACAATCAGCCTTCATACGGAAACTAATCCTTTACGCAGCGACAAGCTGAAAAACATTAAATCAAGGCCAAAATTAAAGTGTAGACGTGATAATATAATCGCAAAAGCAGAAACGCCAGTTTTTGTGAAGCGGCTAGTTGATTATCAAATTTGACCCAGTTAACAGACGTTATTATACATTGAATTTCCTCTCTTAGTCGCTTCTCTGAAATGTCTTGATTTGACGCAAAGGTTACATCGAGATCAAGATTGTCAACAACAATGAATAATGATTTTACTTTTCCAAATAAGCTTTTAGATCTCCGAAACAAGCATTTCAAAGTTGGTCCAATGGTTTATCCTTTTTTCTTTATTTTTGCAACCTCTTGATAGTCTGAGCAATAGACCGAATCGTTTGAGTTTTCGATTGAAAGTTTTAATTTTAATCAATATTTCGAATGAAAGTATCGATGCAATCGTCAACTTTCGAAAGTGAATTTTCAACTGAGCTGAAAATACTTGTGAAGTGTTCACGAACGTTCCGGAAACTTGTTTAACCAAAAGACTTTCTATAAGAAAAAAGTAATACAGTATGCATTGGATTTTTTCGAGGATGGAAAATGTTTCGATTTACATTTCAAAAAAGGTTACATAAATCAGCGAAAAATTCTTAACGAAGTATTCACTGTTTGTTTCCGTCTTTTTTGTCATGTTTCCGTTAAATAAATGTAACAGCTTTTTTTTTCAGAAAATCGTGTGTATGTTTTGCACAATATGTTTACCAATTTTTACCTTAATATTACAAACTTTTCCTCAAATTTAATAGTCGGTGAACGTAGTTCAAATTCATTGGCTACAAGGTAAGCAAAATGCACTCTCTGAATACAGAAGCGTAAATAGCGCGAAAAAGCATCAAATACTTCTAGTTTCGAAAGTGGAACTCAGTTTTAAGATATCCCAGCGGACTAAATAATTTGTCTTTTGATCCTCTTTTCTCAAATTAGTTTAATTTTCTCAAAGAACGTGTCAATCATAAATTTTCGAAATTCAAAGTACTTTTATTTTGTTTGATTTCAAAATTTGCAGTTTTTTTTCAAGAACCAAGTAGGTATTTTTCTACTGTTTCCTTGCGTCTTCCATGAAAAGTGTTTGGCTGCTCAAAGTGTTTATCTGAATTTATGTTTTAACGCTTGCGATTTGCAAGCGTTATCAAATTGTAATATAGACTTCTTCCGTGTTAACAACTAGTCTAACGGAATCAGTTGAACCTGTTCACACCTTGGTTCATAAGAAATTTAAAAGCAAGGCATAATTTCCATAAATGTGGCGCCTCTTCTGGGTTTTTGAATTTTGTATTGGAATCGGCATTTGGGTTTGCAACTTTAGAATAATGTTGAAGTTTTTCTGAATTTATGTTTTAACGCTTGCGATTTGCAAGCGTTATCAAACCGGAATAGTGGTTTTTTCTTCAACTATTAGTTTAACTTAATCACTTGAATCTGTTTACACGTTGGCTCATATGAAACCCAAAAGCAAGGCATAGTTTCCATAAAATGTAAAATGTGGCGTCTCTCTAGGTTTTCAAGTTTTGTATTGTAATCGTTATTTGGTTTAGCAATTATGCTCCATTTTATCTGAATGTATGGCTTAACGCTTGCGATTTGCGAGCGTTATCAAACGGAAGATTAGTTTCTTTTCGTGTTAACAATTAGCTTACACCTTGATCTATATCTATCTATATCTATCTATCTATATCTATCTATCTATATCTATCTATACTATATTTAAATGCGAATGACAGCTATCTCCCATGTTTAAGCATAATAATTTTGCATGTTTAACGAAAGAATTTTTTCATGTTTAAGCTATAGCACCTATTGCAATGCTTAAGAAAATTTTTAATTAGTTTTTCGCAAGGTCAATAATTTTTCAGTATTTTTTTCGAGGCCATATTAAGTCTGTCTGTCTGTATACCTGCTTTTTTAATTAATTTGATTATGTCTGTCTACCCGTCGCCTAATTTTTTTAAACTTTCATCTATTATTTATCTATCTATTATATATTTAAATGCGGGCTTCATTATCTCGCCATGTTTAAGCTTTTTCAAAGTATTGTTTTTGCATGTTTAACAAAAGAATTTTTTCACGTTAAGCTATATATCGTATATTGCAATGGTTAGGTTTTTTTTCGATTTTCCAGTTTAAATTCAGTGCTTTTTCATCAAGTTTGAAACTAGCAACCCAATAGTAGGATATTGTCAGAGTTTTCCCAGGTTTTGCGATTCTGGCCTCCATATATGAATTACCAAATCCTTTTAGTTATAGGCAAACGAGATAGGCAATTTTCGAGATTTTTCAAAAATTTCTAGAAATTTAATTTAATTTTTTTTCTTCAATTTTCAAGTTCTCACCCTGTAGTTGGGTGCTGTCATGGTACTATCAGGGGTTGCGAATCTTGCCTCCAATTCTCACTTCTCAAATCCTTGTAGTTTCCGAGATGTGACGTTTTTTATAATTTTTTCAAAAACTTAGATTTTAAAAATTTCCAAAAAGCGAAATTCTCAATCCTGTTGTTGGATATTGTGAGGGTACTCTCAGGGGTTGCAAATCTTGCCTTTGATTATGGCTGCTCAAATCCTTGTAGTTTTCGAGATATGACGTTTTTTTTTTTTTATTCAAAATTTTCAGAAAACTTAGCAATGAGAAATTTCACAAAACTTGAAATTACCATCTCTGTAGTGAGAATCTGTCAGGGTACTGTCAGGAGTTAAAAATTTCGCCGCCAAATTTGACTGCTCAAATCCTGGTAGTTCTCGAGATATGAAGTTTTTTATGATTCTTTCCGAAATTTTCTAAAATGTTAAAAAATTCCAAAACTTTGAAGATCTTTGGAATCTGTGACGGTAATCTCATCTCAGGGTATTGCGAATCTTTCCTCTGAATGCGGCTGCTCAAATTTTTGTAGTTTTTGAAATCTGACGTTTTTTTAGGATTTTTTCAAAATTTTTCAGAAAACTTAGGTATAAAAAATTTCGCAAAACTTGAAATGTAGTGAGGCTCTGTAAGGGTACTCTCAGGAGTTGCGAGTTTTGCCTCTCAATAGGACTGCGATATTTGCCTCCAAATAGGACTGCTCCAAGTCTTGCAGTTTTCCACATATGACGTTTTTTGTGATTTTTTTCTAAAAAATTTTCATGAAAACTAAATTGATTTTTTTGAAACTTTGAAATTCCTAACCTGTAGTTGGGGGGCTGTCAGAGTAATCTCAGGGGTTCCAAATTCGGCCTCCAATTAAGAAGCCCAAATCATTTTTGTTTGAGAGATACGACGAGTTTTGTGATTTTTGGGAAATTTTCAGAAAACTCAAATTACAAAATATTTTGTTAAAGTGAAATTCCCAACCCTGTAGTTGTGTACTTTCAAAGATTGCGAATATTGCCACCAATAAAGATTGCTCAAATTTCAGTAGTTTTCGAGATGTGATTTTTTTCTTGTTTTCAAAAAAGTTCCTCTTTTACAAAACTTAATGTGAAGTTTCTCAAAATTTGGATTTCCCAACGTTGTAGTTGGGTACTGTAAGAGTACTCTCAGGAGTTCCAAAGCTTGCGTCCAAATGCGACTGCTCAATTGCTTTCAGTTTCCCAGATGTGACGTTTCTTAATACATTATATACTTAGATTTATAATGTAAAAGTTTTAGTTACGAACCCTGTAATTGGTTGCTGTCTGAGTACACTCAAAGAAAAGTTTTTTTTGAGTTGTTGAAAGTTCAAAGCACCGGAGGTGCGGTACACGCTAGTTCATGAGAAATCCAAAAGCAAGGCGTAATTTTGCGCATATGGCGTAGAGGTAATTCACCTGCCTGCAAAGACAAAGGTCACTGATTTGAATCCGACCAGGACCCGTTTTTTTGTTCACAGAAAATATTTCCGCTTGTCAAAAATTGTTCTCGGATTTCTGTTTGTCTGCTTGTTTGTTGTAGGCTTAGTTGGCACAGCGCGAAATGTGTCTAAGATTTAGTAATTTTAAAACTAAATTTAAGTCTTTTTGTTTTCCATCTCTGTGCAAGTAATTGAATAAATTTTGCGGATTTTTCTCCTGATTTTTATCAAATTTTTAGAAGTCGTGATTGAAATTTTACATTCTTATTTGAAAACGAAAGCACCAAGTAGCATAGTTTACAAAATTTTGATATTAGCTGACTGCATTATTTGAAGACAAATGTATACGCCAGTACTACGGCGTACAAATACTTCCTCTTTCACAAAAACTTCAGTCTTCTATTTTTTGCATGTCAATAAACCGTTTATGAATCAAGGGTTAGATAATGACTAGATTATATCTGCTTTTGCCAAACTTTGATTTTTTTTCTGAAAATGATGAATTATGTTGCTGTTCTTACAATAAAACTTATGCGATTTAATTGTGGCATATATTTTTGCATCGCAGGTGGTGCGAAACTCCGCTGCGTCTGCTCGTTCAAAATTGTTCTTTGATTTTTTTTTATATATCGGAAGTGCATCAAAGCTTCGCTTCGCCTCTGTGATGTAATTTGCCGCTTTTCAATTCCATGAAAATCAAACTAGTCATACATTTTTAAACATGGTCTTGTATCATTTTTTTAAAAAAGCACGTCAAGTATGCCTCTTAGCAAGTGAGTTAAGTTTATTTTGAAGAGAGGCTTAAAAATTTCCGGAAGTGTTTTGATTGTTTTTAACTAAATGTCTAATTGCGTTCTGTTTTGTTTTAGACAGAGAACATGTGGATCCAACAATTGTTACTCAATACTGCTGAGTGCGAATATTTCAAATATCTGACTTCATCGAGCAGTCGCAAAAGCAAAAATCAGATCAAAGGCTCCTCTGAGGTTAAATCGACCGTGAAGAAAGGCGACGAAGAGCTCCCGGAAGCTTCAGTAGATAATTCGAAAAAAGCTCAAATGGCAGTAGAAACAGAAAAGTCTGAGCCTAATGTAATCGTAAGTTAGCAGTTATGAGTTTTGTGCTTTGGTTTTTTTCCGGATATCATTATTTCGAGTATTCTCACTTATCATTTTTTGTCAATTATCACAATCTTCATGATTTCTAAGTCGATGTTGTGAGATAGTCCTTTCGAATTCAAATTTAGCGAGAGCCAGTTATATGAAAACTATAAATTGAAATTCTGTTGTAAGACGACACTCAGAAACTACTTAAACCAATGCCTAAAGTGCTCTGAAGTCTCATGGTTTTATTTTAGATATCTCTAGATGATTCCGTTCAGCATGGTGTTTGGTTTCAAAAGCGCCTATTTGACGAAAGTGAACAATTGTATCACCACTATCGTGAAATATGTTATCGAAAGCAAAAGAAACAAGCGAAACCTTTCGCCATTGTGAGAAAGCCACCAGTTAAAGCGACATTCAAACACTTCGATTCGATAAATGCCCAGGAAGTTGTCTTAGACGTTGATAATGATGATCTTTGGTCAGAATTGCTTTTGGCTGTACAAGGTTAGAGATCCCCCATCCCCGTGCCGATTTTTGACTGAACAATCTTAAAATAGTTTCGGAATAGCTCAAAATCTTCGAAATGGCTAACCTAAAAAGCCAAACATTTTTTCAAAAAATCATCGGTCAAAAATGCCCATCCTTGAAAGATGAACCATTCATCAATTATACGCAGACAAGGAGCAATACACAGATGATGGTCTTTTTGAATTGTACTTTATATATAACTGTTTTTGTTCGAAGCACCTTTCTTGGAAGTTAGTGTTTTACATCTAACGAATCGGCCTGTGTCCGACTGAAGTTTTTCCACCTGTCGAATGGGCGGATGTGGGACCGGAACCCGCGAGCCATTGATTTGAAACCCTGAGCTACCAAATGGTTTGCTTTTGATCATATTTTGCGGCATCCGATTTTGATAGCCAAACCTAAAATTTTTCTAGAGCTCGAATATACAAAGTTGAAGGTGGCAGCGCGCACCGAAAAACCTAATTTTGTTGGTCAAAACAAAACCTTCCAAAATAACAAATTTTCGCATTTTAGGCGAACTTATCCTCCAGCGTAGAAAATATTGTCTAATTGGTATCTTGGTACTGTTTTAGAGGAGAGCTCGGTTTTCAATTTTTTCAAGCTAGAGCAAGTGAATTAATTTTTATTTTCTTAGCGACCTGGTGATTCCGTAAATCCGCTTTTTAGGAATAGATATTTTTTGCGTATTGCCTTAGAGGAGGAGGTAATAAAAGAGATCCCCGTTCAGCCAGTTTTTAATTTTGAGATCAGCCTGTTTAGTTTCAGATAATTCTTATTAAATCTCATTATAATTTGTTTCAGAAAATGAAGCGCAATCACCTAATGAGATTTTAATGAAAGAAGATTACGTGAAACTACTTAACCAGATGATACAGCAGAGTGGCAATGAAAAACTGAAAGGTAGAGAGCTCGAAATATAAATTAATTACGCTTGCGATTAGCAAGCGTTATCAAACTGGAATATAGATTTTTTTCGTGTTAACAACTTGTTTAACAGAATCTTTTGTATCTTGGTTCATACGGAATTCAAACTTCTATGCGTTCCCGACCAACTTAGCCTGGATTTAACGAATATGCCTGGGATGGCGAAGGTCCTGGGTTCGAATCTGACCGGTGCCTGTTTTTTTATTCAAACGGGAATTTTTCTGTGTCAACTAAATTTTCCGCCAATTTTTTGTCTGCTTATCTGTTTTCGGCTTAGTCGTCAGATTTTGAACTTTTTTTTTGCTGCGCGCATTTTTTTTTAATGTTGCTTTTTGTGTTTGATTTAGTCCAACAATTTGTAATTTTACCTGCCTTGGCTTCGTATTTTCTTCTTTATTTTTTTTGTTTCGCTTAAAAAATTTTCCTCGGCCAAAATTATTTCGTTTTTTCTATCGGCTTAATGACCTAATTTTGGGTCGTGTCAATGGTATCACAACATGAACACTCCCCTTCACACTTTTCATCTAGGTTGTATGTTTACCAATCGGTTTGTTGAATTTTTTTTTCATTATTTTCTCATAACTTCTACTGAACAAAAAGGGATGACAATTGAAAAATCGCCTACTCCCCTGTGTGCCTGTCTTTTCCCCTCGAATCTTTTTTACTAGGCCCCTCTGTCTACAGCCTATGAAAAAGTCTCTGGGGGGAATATTTCACCCATATTTCTTGAAAAATACCCCTCTCAAATCAGAGTTTTTGTGTTCAATTAATAAAACGGTTTCGAAAAGTTCTCTGCATGAGCGGCTACGTCCAAGTTTTTTTTTTTTAACACTTGAAGTTATGGTCCTCGGAAAGTGTCAAGTTTTTGATTTTGACCGTTTTTTAAACTTAAATATTCTCGAAAACTACCCTGCCATATTTGAGATTTTGGGTTCAATTCAAAGAACGGGTTGTGGGAAGCTCCTTTGCTGATGCGACTATTCTCAAATTTTCTGACACGAAAAGTTATGGGCCTCGGAAAAGTCAAAATTTTGATTTTTTTGACCGTTTTTTAAAAAAATTTTGACATGTCTCGAGAACTACCCTCTCAAATCTGAGATTTTGGTGAATTCCTTCGCATAATATTAAGTGAATTTTTTTTGCATAAGCGGCTACGCCCTATTTTTTTACCCAAAAAGCTATGATTCTCGGAAATATCAAATTTTCGAATAATGACCGTTTTTTGAACCTTTCTCGCTAACTATGCCAAATCTGTTATCATAGGTTTAAATGAAACAATTATGGGAAGCCTTATTTTGAGTATGGAAAGCCTACTTTTGTAACTGGTTAGGTCCAGTTTGTTTAAGAAAAAAGTTAAGGCCTTCAAACAAGTCGGTTTTAAAATATTGGACAGTTTGTTTTGCAATTTTTTTTAGTTTACGAGAAAACTACCGTGCCAGTTCTCAGTGTTCAATCGAGAAACCCGGTTTTGGCAATTTTCTCTGCTTATGCGGCCACAACCTGCTCTTTGCAGGATAAAGTCATGGATTTTGGAAATCCTTTGACTGTTTTTCAGAACTTTTGACTGTTTTTGGAAACTTTTTTATTTTTTTGTTATTTCCCAATCTGGGATAAAAAGTTCAACTGAAAGAACCGGTTGCGATAATGGTTCCTGCTGAAGTGGTGTCTCCTTATTTTTTGCAAGAAAAGCGTTATCTTTTTGGGAAAATTGATTAACTCAAAATTTTTTACTCATCTCACTTTTTTAAGTAGACCTACTTAGCTCTCTTAGTTTTTTCAACATTTAAAATTTGCGTTCGACATACGTTTTTTTAACGTTTCAGTTGTATCGCAAGTAGTGCGAAATTCAGCTTCGCAAACGATTTTATCCATTTATTAAATAATTACGCCTGTCGAAGTATGGAACTTATTATATTTAATCGAAAATGAAAAGCCAAAAGGAGATAACGATCTGAATCTAAAATCTTGAGCTAAAAATAATAATTTCGTTTGTGATTGTTTTGAATTTTTACAGGAGCAGCGCTGTGTATATTTGGCTCGACTTATAACGGGTTCGGGAACAAAGGCAGTGACTTGGACCTGGTGATTCTCTTCAAACGAGAAGAAGACGATGATCCGAGGAAAACAAATATGGACATCGTGAATGCTATCTCGAAAGTGATGAGGGGTGTGGAATTCAGAGATGTGATCAGAATTCTTCAAGTTGTGCGCGGAGCGAGGGTTCCAATCATCAAGTTCATTTCCACACATAAGAAGTATCCGAGATTAATGGGTGATATATCTGCACGAAATAGACTGGCAAGTTTTCACTTTTTACATATTACATTATAATCCAGCTCATCCGATTCTTCTATATCCTTCTTTCCGGTAGAATTTATTTTGAATCGGTTCGATGATCAGACAGCGTATTAATCACTATTTTATGAAACGTTTCATTACACTAGCGAGCGTTAGTGTAATGAAACGTTTCATTACACTAGCAAGCGTTAGTGTAATAGTACAAACCTTCATTTTTTCTAACCTAACTCGCAAATAAAAGTGTTCAGTGTTCACTTATATGGAAATTTCATTGTAGCATTAGAATAGCATAGCAGCTTTTCCCTGCTTTATTTGTGGTTAGTGTTTTTCATCAGCAGAAATGTTCCGTTTAAAGAGTTAAAGCAATGTTTTAAACATTAACCGATTAAAATTTTTAACTAAATCGGTTTAACCAATTGGGTATTGGTTAAATCAGTTTAACAAACCATTTTTTTAACCAATTGGTTAAACCAATTGTTTACACAAGCAAAGCTTGTGTGATAGTATGAATTCTCTGTTTTTCCAACCTAAGTCGCAAATATTGCTGCGACGAAAATATTATTACGACAAAATGTGTTCATTTTGAGCAATAACTAGCTATTAAGTACAGCCAATGCTAAGGACATCAACACAGACTAAGAACATCAGCACAGACATTATATTGCAAATAGCCTTTTAGCTTCAAGGTATCATGGATCTGTAGCGTAGAGGTAGGGAAGGAGACTCGCAGCAAATTAAGAGGGCTCGAATCTGGGCAGGGTCGGAAGTTTTTAATGAACTTTTTCGTATACTAGTTAAAATGCGTCCGCTCTATAAATTAAGGCATTTTAGTTTATAATTTTTTTTTCTAATTGACTGTTACTGCTAATGCGTCATAATTGGCTTGGGTCTTATAGCAATTATGTTGACTCATAATTGGCGTGCGTCATTTACGAACTTTTGCAGACTCAAAGTTTTACTCAATTAAGTTTTTCCCAGTAGCGATATCGGTCATATTTTTGCATGTGTATGCTAAGTTCAACTTCGCCTCTGTGTAAACAGTTGGTTATGTTGGACATCACTGGTCATCAGTTAAGCGTCCGTGGCGGAGTGGTTTGTGCGCGAGACTCATAATCGCTAGGTCGTATGTTCGAATCTGAGACGAAGTTCTACTTACTAATTCGAGGCCTATTTCTAGTTTATTTATTGCATTTTATAGAGCTGCTTTTTGTCTTGTTCTCGCTAGTGTTTGCAAAGCACAGCTTCGCGTCTGTGTAACGACTCCTACATCCGCAAATGTAAGGCGTTTGCTCTAGAAAAATTATTCAAACATAAAGACTGGCGAAACTGGCATTGTTAAAGGGGAAATATATGATGAGATGGCATCGAAAGAATTGGTATCAAGTCAATGTTTTGCTATCACTGGCTGACGAGAAATATGCTAGAGAGTTTTCCGCTTTGTTTTCAGGGCCCAAGAAATACCAAGCTGATGAATGCCTATGCTATATATGATGAGCGCCTGAGAACACTGGGATATGGCATCAAAAAGTTCGCAAAGGTAAGTTAGTCCTATTTTTATTCCAAGTTTTACCTACTATTAGAGGGAATCTTAAACTGCCGTCTTTCCTGAAGTGAAAAAAAACAAATACAAAAATATTTGAGTCAATTTTACAACCCTACTCAACACACATCTGATAATTAGGTTCTCAATGTAGTCGAAGATAGTATAGATAACTTTTTTGGACATTTATCATATAAACTGGTCTTTTCGATTGTCCCCCTGAGTTGCAAAATTTTCAGTTGATTTTTTTTTTTCAAAAATAGATCAGATTTCGCATCAAACCAAAAGTTTATACCGATTCGGTGGAAATCAAAATATTTTAAGTTGAGAATTTTTCTCTTGAATATTTTTGCATAACTGAGCCATGGCTGTTTCTTACAAGAAAGATTTTTTTTCTAAATTGCCCACATGCGAATTCGTTCTACTACTACTACACAAGCTTTCTTGTTTTTTTTTTAAAGCTGGCGGACATCAACGATGCATCTACTGGGTCTCTTTCATCGTATGCATATCTGTTGATGATGATCTACTATCTGCAACACACTTCTCCCCCTGTTCTCCCATGTCTGCAAGATGTGACACTTTTGAAACAGGGCGAACAACTAGTCAGAATAGAGAATGAAATGAACACGTGGTACCAAGAAGACCTCGACTATGTAGTGAGTTTCCTGATTGTTTGTTATAGATACAATTATTTATGAACCAAATTTTTTGCTTACTCAGTTCTCGGGAAAAAATTATCCTCGCTCAATTTTATACTTGCTATTGGACAAAAAATTGTCCTTGCTCAATTTTATTCTCGCGATTTGCGATTTTATACTTTTTTTAAGTTCACTTCACATTCATTTGATAAATGGAAAGCAAATTACGCCCCAATAACATTAGTGCAAATGGAGCAAAAACTGACACTTGACCGTATATTTAAAATTGGGTGTAATTTTTACACTGGCGATCAGCATGAGTTATCAAATCGGAATATACTTTTTTATAGAATCACTGAGTTATCTGATAGCTTGATTTATATAAAAAAAGCAAATTCTGTGGCTTTTTATGCATATGTTGCTCAGAATAAGTTCCATGCCTGGGACGACAAAAGTCGAGGACTTTTCTGAATAAGTCATGTCGGTATTTCTTGTGTATGCTTATTTTTTGTCAGCTTACTTGGAGCAACGCGGATTTCGTGTCATTAAAGCTATTAAGAGTAATGAATGTAGTGAGTCCTATAAAGGTCTTGCTGATTTTTTTTCAGGAAAAAGTTTTAAAATTTGTTCACGCTCAATTATGATTTTTCGTGGTTTGACTTGTGATTTCTTTTTAAGTTCAGTGCATTTCCATTGTAAAAGGAAGGCAAACTCAACTATCGAACAGGAAAAATGTAATGTCACAAAAATTGATCGTGATCAATTTCTACTTTCGAAAATTGAAATTAATTATCAGATTTTCTAGTGAAATAAAACTTTACCTATTGATCCAGTTTTCTCAAATTGATTTAGTTTTGAAAAGTTTAAAAGAATCAATTAAAAAAAAAGAAAAATAAATTGTTCTGCAAATTCAAAAAACTTTAAGGCCATCTAATTCTTCGAAATTCAAAAGTTGAAAAAACAGGTAGTTTTTTTTCAGTTTCCTTGCGTTATTTACTCAGTTGGCTTTTCCAAATTTCAGTTGGCTATGTTTTTCATTATAAATGATTTTTTTTGTACACAAGGGATCTTGCAACCATTTTATTATATCAGGGGTCTTAATTGTTTTCCAATGTAACTCGTATGTAATAAATAGTGCTCCTTTTGATGGTACTTATGCTGCACTATTTGTGCGCTCAATCTTTTTAACCAAGTTAATAAAAGTTAGGACTAAAATTTATTCGTATTTTCGGTAGTACAAACGATTCGTGTCCTAATCCAGAAATAAAACGAAAATCTGATATAAATCGCATTCATTACATAAACTTTTTCGGTACAAATTTGCTTGATAAATTGGCGCAAGCTAGCCAAAACAACCGGCGATTGTCCTTGACACAAATTGCTCTTTTTGACGGTCAGCCTCAATCAAGGCTGAACCGAATTGAAACCAAAGACTCGAAAGAGGCTACTAAACAAAAGTGATCATGAAATGTTTAGTTACGTTTCATTTTCATCCAAAATTTAATTGCTTCGGGTCGGTTGGTTTTGTTTCAAAAACCGCAAAAACTACTAGGCTAATTTTTGAACTGAATATATCAACATTATCGTCTTACTGTGCCACTCAAAGTTTAGCCACGATGAAATGACTGGAATAAAGACTCGTTTTTTTGCATTGATCAAGTTTGGTAACAGTCTTTCATATTTTCTGGCGTTGTATCTAAATTTTGTAATAGGTTCGCTTGGGTATATATAATATACCAGAAGTTAGCTATTGTAATTTTTGTTCTATTTTGAATTATACTAATGTGTTAGAGCTTCAAAAAATATAATACACCAAAAATAGTTTAAGCAATTGTTTAATCATCACTTTTGTCCTAAGATAACCCAGGTTTTTCTGCAGGTTTTGCAATTATCTTTCGAAAAAAAATCTTGAAGTTTTTGGAGATTTGCTTATAACTTCAAAAACTTCAAGATTTCTTTTTCTGTTTCTTTTTCTCGGACTATTTAAGTCGGCCTTGCGAAAGATTACCTACTGATTCATCTTTACATATTTGTGTGAGTTATATTTAAAAAATTCTAATTATTGAGGTTTCTTGAATTGAAAGAGCTTCAAGGCAAATTGAAATCAATTGTTTTTTGTTCGGTTTTCATTGAGGTAATTAGTGTGTCTCCAACTGTCTGGTTATGTTCGTTTTCTCGAATGTCGTGAACAGAAGATTTCAAGTTTCTTTTGTCAAATTATTGATGCAGGTTGTAATTGGTATTTGATATTTTACTTTTTGTTGTATTAGGAGTAATGAAGGTAGTGAAGACTCTTGTATAGGTTTTGCTGGTTTCTTTCGTTTTTCAGGAAAAGTCTTAAAAGTCTCTAATAACTGCAGATGTGCATTCATACATATTGATGCATTTATGAATGCACTTAGATATATATGCACTTTTTGAAGGTTTATATGCACTTTTTGAGTTCAGTTGAAACTCATCTGCCGAAAGTGACGTAAATCGCACTCTCCAAAAACGAACGTGGAAATGGCGCGAAGAAACGTGAACGATTTCTAGTTTCGAAATTGGAATTTAATTTTTAGATTTCCAGCGATTGATTCTATTGATTCAGTTTCCTCTACTTGGGTTCATTTTATCAAAAAACGCCAATGATAATTTGTTCTCGAAAATCAAAGAGCTTAAATGGCATCTTTTTTCTTTGAAATTCGAAAGTTGAGATTTTTTCAAGAAAGTCATTGCTTTTTCTATGTTTACTTGCGTTCATTACTCTTTTCCTATCTTCCATTGGCTATGTATTACTCTTGCGATTGTCAAGGGTGTTGCAACCGGGTACTAGACTTTCATAACTGTTCATAACTTCACAGAATTAGCACATGAAAACGTTACGGGTGTTTTGCTTTTTTATAATTTCAAATTCAAGGATTTTTTTGTGCATTTGACGCAGTGGTAACATCAATGCTTGAGATGCAAAGCGAGACCTGTTTTTCTGCAACCTAATTTTTTTTGGCTATTTTAATTTATCGTCTGACTGCTTGTTTTCGTCGGCTTACTTCTCGCAGGAAGGGTTTTTTAAAGTTCGCCTCTTTCTAGCATTATGAAAGCTCATTGTATTTTATATTGGCGCAGGTGTTTATATCCAGGATTTTCCGGGTTTTTTTGCAATTTTAGTTTTTTTGACAGAAAGCGATTTTCAAGGTTTTTGAAGTTTTTCATAGTCATTGATTTTTGTATCGCAAGTGGCGCGAATCTCAGCTTAGCCTTTGTTATGATCAGATTTGGAGAAATGAACTGTTTCATTATTTTTTTCAGCGAGGAATTACAGCAGCCTTATTTCCTCCGAATAGAATGTCGATCGGAGAACTCTGGAAAGGATTCTTTGAGTTCTACACCAATTTCGACTTCAGAACCCAAATCGACATCAGAATGCGACTGAGTCCAACAGTGCGGCGAGTCGGCATCGAAATACGAGACCCATTCGACGAGGAACACGACTTAGCTCGTGTTTTACGACTTTCCGGCGAGAACTTAATCCGAAACTGCTTCAGCTCAGCTCTGAATTTGTTCAGGCGTATTGAAGTTGCACAGAAGAAACTGAGTGAAAAAAATAAATTAGAGCTTTTTGATTGGCTGGTAGAGCAAGTTGCGAATTCACATCCCTATGGGCAGATGAATACGTGTTGGCTGTGTGGTGACGGCGACCATTACAGAAGTGTGTGTCACATTTTTGCAGAACGAAAGAGAAACGAGGGAGTTAAAGAGCGCACGAGGATGAGAAACAGACATCGTCAATCAGTAAGTTTCAATAATTCTTTCTTCAATTAGAGGGGTTGTTTGACGGGTTGTTAGACGGCTTGTTAGTATGAAAAAAAGCTGATCATAGTGATTATATTTTGTAATTTTCGAAACATAATTTTTCTGGTATAATAAACCGACCACTAATACTAACGGATTAATGTTGCATTATTGAAATTCGATGTTTTGTGGAGTCGCCCAATTATTTTGACCACGAAATGAAAATGAACTTGGTATTCGGGTGTAATAAAGTTTAGCGAGCGTAGTATAATAGTGCGAGTATTCTTTTTTTTGCAACCGAAGTCGCAATTATTGGCGCTACTTTTGGGTCACCTCTATGGCTTTTTGATAGCATGTGCTTTGACAGTCAATTAGTAATAATTTAACACAGTTGATGCATAAACCGATAAAAGCTAGTTGCTTCAAACAACAGTATAATAATAATAACTCCATTTCAGAAATTTTCCAACTCAATGTATCTGGCAATTTTTTTGAAATGCATAATTTATACATAATTTGGCTTCATCCTTTCCGTTTTTTACATGCAAAGTAAGTGTGGATGCCTTTATTTTATTACATTCCAAATTATAACATGCAAAGTTTGTATGTATTTATATCTGGTGCCACTTTTGCTGTATAGCTTTGCAATTTATTAGTACATGTAGATACTTGATTGGTGGCATGTGTTACGAAATTTATGGGCCTACCGGGGCGCAGTGGCGAGTACGTGCGACTGCATATCCCCTGGTTGTAAGTTCGAATCCGGGACAGCAAAGTTTTTAATTTTCAATGCTTATTTTTACCTTTTCTTTTCGTATTTCATTTTCACAGCTAATTTTTCATCGTTTTTTGCTTGTTTTTGCGAAGCGCAGCTTAGCTTTTGAGTAAATTTTTCGGTACCTCAAATAAATGTCAGATGGGGTCGACTGATATAGATATTCAAGCTGTAAAGGATTTATTTTCTGCCGACACAAAGAATCCTCCAACGCTATTTTTTCGACCAAATTAAAAATCAATTTGGTCGACCCTGAAAAACATGAAAATCGACTAAAATGTTGACTAAATTTAATGATTATCTATCTATAAAAGCATTGATAGATTTTCTACGCTAGCTTTCAGTCTCTCTCTCTCTCTCTCTCTCTCTCTCTCTCTCTCTCTCTCTGTCTGTCTGTCTGTCTCCGCACGAACAAAAAAAAAGAAAAGATTGTGCCAAAAAAATTCGATTTTTTCAACTTTTTCTGTGTTACTTGCACATCAACTGGATATTGCTTAACTTCTTGATTGGTTGATTTGTTTGTTATCTAGAAAACTTAGGTTTAAAACCTGATTGTTTAGAAGAATTCGGAGAAAAGTGAGAACAGTCAAACTCAGAATAACGGAGCTCAAAACGTAGGTGAGTGCAATGGTTCAATTGACTATAACGGAAGATAGATAAACTACTACCTGTTGCAGTATTAAGAAATGCCTTGGAGCAAGTTTCCTGAAGAAAAGAGCCCGAAATATTGGAGGCCGAACATTGTAATAAAGTATTCCTTAATGAAGTCCTAAATTTGATTTTCCCTCAATTTGATTTTCTTGTGGTTTGACTTTTGATTTCTTTTTAAGTTCTATTTGAATTCTTTTGCTAAAAGTAAAGCAAATTACGCTCTCTGTTAACCAAACTGCAAATAGCGCGAAAACTATGAATAGTCTTAATTTTCGAAAGTGGTTATAAGTTTACGGAATTCCCCGCGGAATACAAAAATACCTATTGATCCATTTTTTCTAAATGGGGGATATGTTTAAGAAATTAGCAACATTGCCAATCTTAACCGTTTATTGAAATTCAAAAAGCTTTAACGTGGTATAATTTCATTGCTAAAGCTGAAAGCTGTTAAAACTTCCAATCCGTTGTTTTTGGTTATCTTGTTCTTTTCCAATTTTGCGTTGGCCATTTTTTGTAGCGTCAATAAACGAAAACAAGATTTCTATTTTTTTTTCGTGGTTTGACTGATGGTTTCTACGTTCAGTTTGAAATCATTTGCCGAAAGGAAGAAAAACTATGCTCTCGAATAACAGGTTGCTTAAAGGGATTTTAATTTTTAGGTTCCTATTGATCGAGTTTTTTACGCAAGCGTAGCTTCTGTTATAGTATGGACTTTTTTTTCAACCGAAGTCGCAAATATTGTTGCGATGCAATTGTTGCGACAAAATGTTCATTTTGAACGTGTTCATTTTGATCCAGCTATTAAGTACAGCCAATGCTAAGGATATTGACACAGACTATTATATTACAAATAGCACTTTAGCTTCAAGGAATCATGGATCTGTAGCTTAGAGGTAGGAAGGAGACCAGCAACAAAATAAGAGGTTTCGAACCTGGGCAGGGTCGGATGTTGTTAATGAAATTTTTCGTATAGTAGTTGAAATGCGTCCACTCTATAAGTTGAGGCATGTTAGCTGGTAGATTTTTTTTTCAAATTGACTTGTACTGCTAATGCGTCATAATTGGCTTGCGTCACTTAGCAATTATGTAGACTCGAAGTTTTACTCATTCAGTTTTTCCCAATAGCGTTATCGGTCATATTTTTGCCTCTGTGTTCAAATTGGTGTAGTTTTGGTTTCATAATAGTTTGCCCTTTTCTAATCTAACCTATGTTATTATGCCGTATGCTTATCTGCCCTTTATTCCAATTTACACTATCCCAATCTACCCTATGCCAATCTACCCTGTGTTCAGTAAACTGTTCAATTGGTTAGAGATAACTCAGCTAGCTGACTATCTCGATTTAAGGTCGCCAGTGGGCGCGATTCGCGGCAATAAACGGCTCTTATTTTTGTATAGAGTCCTACCCTCTATTGGCAAGCTCGCAACACGTTGGCGTGACTGCGGTGATCTTTATTATGATGTTATTTTTCCGTCTTAAATGAGGCGTAGGTAGATTGGCATAGGGTAAATTGGTAGATAGGATAGAATGGTATAGGGTAGATTGGAATTGTGTATATTGTCCTGCTACCATAGTTTTTTTAATTGAAATTGGAAGAACTTCAACGTGATGTATTTTTTCGGGGAGTCTTTTTTCTGCTTCTTTGGGCGTTTTGATGATTTTCCTGACTCGTTGGTTACGTTTTCTATTCAATTTTATTTTTGTATTTTCTTGCATTTCTCTTTTTGCCTTTTTAGAGCTACTTTATCGCTTGTGTTTAAGAAGTGGTTTTGACTGTACAGTGTAAAACTTAATTGCCAGTGAGTGTTGGTTATGTTTTTCTCTGCTGTTTTTTGTTTATTCTGTCGAATAGTCATGTGTTGCTTGAGAAAAGTCATAAGAGATATGAATGAAATATTTCAAATCATATTGCAATTATTTCTGGATCATGGACACGATAGAAAACAAAAGTTTCAGATGCACTTAAGATCAACTCGTACGAAACTTCTCAAAAAAATTTCAAGTACGCGCAATATCTCGAAAATGTATCATTTTGATGGCTCAGTTTACTTGAAAAATTATGATTCCTAGGGGTGTATAACCAGTAGCATTTAACCATGTAACTCAAAATTTGGTGACGCAAAATTCAGGAATCGTCATTATATCTTACCGATTGAATTTTGTATCAAGGATTGCATCTTCTGTTTTTTAGCTCCGAGAGCTCCTAATGCGAACAGGAATCTGAGATGGCCAGCGCGAAATACCGTGGATAATAAAACTAATTTCAGTGAGTATCATGGACTTAAAATTGTTTCCAAACAACTTTGGACACTTCAATGATACTTAAGACAATCATGCGATTTGAGCTATGATATCAGTGCAACGTTGCAGTTATTGAGTTGTTGTTTGGTCCAGCTGTTTATTGGTTGTATTATGCTTTTTTCGAATTAGATTAAATGGATCCAATTTGGCTGCAATCAAAGTCGGAAATCTCTTCTAAATTTAAGCTCGTGTGTGTTAAAGGAAATGGAATAACTTTAAATGATGCAATGGCCAATTACCGCCAAAACAATATCAACAGAAGTTTGACCCCAGAAGTTGAATATTTAATGAGGATGCAGGCGCAGGCTCAATATATGGGAGCTCAACGGTATCATTTTCCGCAGATGGGAGGCAGATATCCGAATATGTATCAGAATTTGGCTCCCGCTCAACCGATGGGATATCAGTCTTCGCGATACTACACGCAACAGCAACACACGCCGCCTAATGCTGTCGAACTGAGATTCATGCGAGATCGTAAGTTGAATCTTAATTGTAGTTTGGTCCCTAATAAGAGTCTTGACAGGGTGTTTCGAATGTCGAAAAACAACGAATAAGTTTAGTTTATAACCTCAGAGGAATAAGATTAACTTAGTGAATTAATTTACAGGGAATTCTGAGAGAAGTAATTCTATACTCTTCTTGCCAATCTACTCTCTTAGACAACGATTTTCTACATTCTTAATTGTTATCGAACAAAGCGAAGATATTTGTTTTGTTTCATGTGGTTTTTTTTCAGGAGTTTTTCTCACACGAATTTTTTAGAGTCGATGAAAATAGTTCAGACTATTATATAGGTAGCGATGATTTTTTTCCCGGAAAAATAAATCTTAACAGTTATTCAGGATCAGAAATGCTTTTTCACGTTTCGACTTTTGTTTTAAGCTAAGTTCTATCCTTATGTTAAAGGGATGGCAAATTACACTATCGAACAGTGAAAGTGTAAAGTCACGAACAACGTAATCGATCTCTAGTTTCGAAAGTGGAATATAATTATCAAATTTACCATCGAAATAAAAATTTTACCTTTTGATCCAGTTTTCTCAACTGTATCAAAGAACTGCCAAACATAAATTGTTCCAGAAATTCAAAGAGCTTTAAGCACATCTATTTTTGAAATTCGAAAGTTGAGATTTTATCAAAAGATAATTATTTTTTTTTCTTTTTACTTCCGTTCATTGGCTTTTTTCAAACTGTCTGTTGGCTATGTTTTGCAGTTTGAATTTTAATTTCTTTTGAAATTTGTTCCAAATTCATTTGCTGAAGGGGAGGTAAATTAAATTCTCTCAAAAAAATGCTTGTATTGCGGAAAAACATGGTTCCTAAATGGTTTTTAATTTCTAGGTTTCCCAGCATAATAAAAAAGTTACCAATTGATTCAGTTTTCAATTTGGTTAATAGTGTTAACCATTAAAAAATAATGAAATTTAGAGATTTGAGGTAATTTTTTTCTTTAAAGCTGGGAGTTAATTTCTCAAAAAATAGGTCAGTATTTTTTCTATTTACTTGCGTTCATAGTCTATTTTTCCAACTGTCTGTTGGCTTTGTTTTGCAATTTAAATTTTGATTTCTTCTGAAGTTTGCTTAAAAGTTCATTTGTCGAAGGGGAGGCAAACTAAATTCTTTCTCAAAAAGTGTCAATATCGCGCAAAAACAGGATTGATTTTTAGCTTCTTTAATGGTTTTTAATTTCTAGATTTCTCAGCGGAATAAAAAAGTTACCAACTGATGCAGTTTTCAATTTGGTTAATAGTGTCAACCATTGAAAAATAATGAAATTTAGAGAGTTCAGGTAATTATTTTTCTTTAAAGCTGGTAAGTTATTTTTCGAAAAAAATTCGCTCTAACTTCCTGGATTTCATTTACACTTTTACAACCTTTTGTCTTTTGGCTATGCTCTTTTCCAGCTTTCGTCTTTTGGCTATGCTTAAAATAGCCTATTTTTGATTGATTTGTCAACTAAAAGGGTGCATCTTTCTAGCTTCTAACAGTCCACGAGGAAACTACGGACCTGCGCCTCAGTATTATCAAAACCTTACCCCGGCATACCACCAACCGCCTGTTCTGATTCCAAATCAATTGAGAAATAACGGCGGTGTCATGGATCGCTATGACCACAGAATGTATGGCAGAAACCAGAACAGAACATTCAAAAATTCCTATCAAAACACACCAGACGCTCGCGAGTTTGCCAATCAAAACAATTTCCAAGTGGATGTAAGAACGCATCATCAGCAGCAGCAGTATTATCAGCAACCGGTTAGAGCCATTTACCAGAGGGAAAGTTCATCGAGTAGTAGCTCTCAAAATTACTCAATTCTTGGAAATGCACCGAAGCCATCGTCAGGTTTTCCGCAACCGTACAACGGAAGAATTTATTAAACTCAAAGTCATAAAATTAAAACAAATACGTTTGTGGTACTGGTTTTTCTTGAGAAGAAAATATTTTAAACGTGTTCTTTGCATGCTCCTATTTTGGTATATAATTATTGGATTTAAAATTTCCTGACTTTTGATTGTTCACATTTGGTGCTAAATGGCATTTTAGTTTTTCTCCTTTTAAGTTCCGTTGGTTGAAAACTTTGATTTACTGAAACAATATTTTGCATTGATTGTTAACAAATAGTGATAGCAATTCAGTTTTTCAATATAGTTTTTACAAGCTGATCATAAGCGAAGTTTTATTATATATTACAGTGCCACTTCTTTTCAGTGTTTGGCGGGTGTGGATAAACGAGTAATTGGAAATTAATCGAATTAATTTAGCACTGCATAGGATCAAATATCTTTTTAGCTTCAAGATGTAACAAAATTGCCTGTTTCAGCGCGTAGACATGAATGTTCCAACTGACTTTAAACGTCGATGAAAAGATTTATTGTTCAAAAAAACTTAAAATTATTTGACAAAATATATTTTTTCATTTTTACTTTTTGCATTTTAGGCTTTCCAAAAATCAAGCCAGTGGTCTGATTACTTGCGCACTGAATTATAATAATTTCAAAATTTAATCATAAAATTTTCTGAAAATCAACAAGACTGCTTGTAACAGGGCAAAACAGGGCTAATATTAGGGAAAATGGTAAAATATTGAATGTGTAATAATATTGAATAAATTTTTCATTTCTAATGCTTTTATAAACGACGAAATATATCCTGATTAAATTCCTGATTATATCCTTTTGATAAAAATTTTTGGTTCCTAACCCAATTATAAGAGTTATATACCGCTTACCCTTAAATAGGACGAAATCTATCGTGAGATAATTATATCAATTTGAAATATATAAGTTAAAGTAGTCGCAAAATCAAACCCGCGTAACTTTGCGAAAATTAACCACAGGTGAATTATTTTTTTGGATTTTGAGCCCTGAGCATCAATATCTCTCAGACTAATTATTCCGTGGCTTTGTCTCGAATTTATTTTTTGATTGAATTGTCTAAGGCTAGATAGTCTTTGTATTTTGGCTAAATTGTCTAAATTTTAAGTTGCAATTTAGAAAAAAAAGAACCCAAAATTGAAATATATAGATTCTTATATCGATCACGATCATTTTTTTTCAGGAAAAGTTGAAGTTTTTTCAGGCTCAAATTTACTTTTTTCCGTGGCTTGACTTTTGATTTCTCGTTAAGTTCTTTGTTGAAAACCAGATAAACTCACTATCGAACAGCAAAAGTATAAAGGTCACGAAAAACGCGATCGAATCTTTTTTCGAAAATGGAATTTAATTATCAGATTTACCTGCGATTTTTGTTACCATTTTATTTTGTTTTCTCAAATTGTGTTAATAATATTAAAAAGTTTTAATCATAAATTGTTGTAGAAGTTCCAAAAGCTTCAAGGCCAGTTATTTTTTTTCCTGGAAATTCGAAAGTGAGATTTTTCCAAAACAACAAGTCAGCATTTGTTTAAATGTTTTCTTGCCTTCACTGACTCTTTTCCAAATGTCTATTGGCTATGTTTAAAGGTTCCAATGAACAAAGCGAAGAAACAAATTTAGGCTTTGTAGTTTCTTTTTTTTTTTAGGAAAATCGATGTCTTTAAGTTGTTCAGGTTCAATTTTAATTGTTTTTGGATTGAGCTTAGACATTTTTTTCAAGTTTAGCTCGAAATCCTTAGCTACAAGGAAGGGCAATTATCAGTTTCCAATATCAAAAGTGCAAATGGCGCAAGAGCATGAATGGCTTCACGAGTCAAAATTGGATTTTGGTTTTCAGTTTCCCCAGCAGAATAACTAGCACACATCTTTTTTGGGGGAGGTGGAAGGTGGCAAGAGGATGTAAGGAGGAGGGAGGAGGGGGAGTTTTAAATTATGTTTAAATATCAAATTTTATACTATGTCTCGGTTCACATGTGGACTCATGACAGCAATATCTTCTATTTTGTATCAGTAGCAGAGGCTAATTTACGTTCTTTGGTAGGGGGCAAATTGTTCATAAAAATAGCAAAATATCGACCGATTTGATTTCTGAGCGCTTTAAAACAACAAAGACCCGGCAGGCAATTTGAGTCGAAAGTTTTTCGAAAAAAAGAACTATTCCAGAATTTTTTTTTGGAAAACTGACATCTTCGATCCATGCAGCGGGTTATCATAAGCAATTTTCTTGGCTATAATTTGTCCAAATTTCTAGTGTGAGAACCCAAGATATTTCAATATCGGTATCGTCAAACATACGACCATTTTTGATGCCGGACCAAATATATCTTTCAATACTTTTGTCTATAATTTTTCCCCGGCCTAGAGACCATGAGAAGAATATCAGCTTCCCAAACAACCAAATTTGAGCCCATAAATTCAAAGTCTTGTTTTTCCTCATTTCTGAAACTAGTTATGTTTACTGGCTATTCAACGCCTTCAAATTAAGATTCTCATTAGTTGATCTGATAAGCTCCTTCCAAGTAGATTCATCTACCTTGTGTCAAAATTTCAATCCTATTTATTTAATCTATATCTATATTCTATATACTATATTTAAATGCGAGTGATAGCTATCTCCCATGTTTAAGCATAATAATTTTGCATGTTTAACGAAAGATTTTTCTTATGTTTCAGCTATATCATATATTGCAATGCTTAAGAAAATTTTTCAATTAGTTTTTCGCTAGGTCATTAATTTTTCAGTATTTTTTTTCGAGGCCAAATTAAGTGTGTCTGTCTGTATACCTGCTTTTTAAATTAATTTGATTATGTCTGTCTACCCGTCGCCTAATTTTTCAACTTTCATCTATTATCTATCTATTATTAATTATTTAAATGCGGGCTTCACTATCTCGCCATGTTTAAGCTTTTTCAACGTATTATTTTTGCATGTTTAACAAATGAGTTTTTTTCACATTTAAGCTATATCGTATATTGCAATGGTTAAGGTTTTTTTTTCAATTTTCCAATTTAAATTCAGTGTTTATTCCATCAAATTTGAAATAAAAACCCCAATAGTAGGATATTGTCAAACTTTTCCCAGGTTTTGCGATTCTGGCCTCCATATATGAATAACCAGATCTTTGTTTACAAGATAGGCAATTTTCGAGGTTTTTTCTCGTTTTTTGAATTTCTCGCCCTGTAGTTGGGTGCTGTCAGGGTACTCTCAGGGGTTGCGAATCTTGCCTCCAATTCTCACTTCTTAAATCCTTGTAGTTTTCGTGATATGACGTTTTTTATCATTTTTTTTTTCAAAAATTTTTCAAAAACTTAGATTTTAAAAAATTCCTAAACGTTGAAGATCTCAATCCTGTTGTTTGATATTGTGAGGGTACTCTCAAGGGTTGCGAATCTTGCCTTTGATTATGGCTGCTCAAACCCGTGTAGTTTTCGAGATATGACGTTTTTCTGGATTTTTTCAAAATTTTTCAGAAAACTTAGATATAAAAAACTTAACAAAAATTGAAATTACCATCTCTGTAACGAGGCTCTGTCAGGGTACTCTCAGGAGTTGCGAATTTTTCCTTCCAATATGACTGCTCAAGTTTTTGTGGTTTTCGAGATATGACGTTTTTTATGATTTTCTCCGAAATTTTCAAAAAAAATTCAAATGTTAAAAAGTTCCAAAACTTTGAAGATATCAATGCTGTTTCTGGAATCTTTGAGGGTACTCTCAGGGAGTTGCAAATATTGCCTTTGAATAGGACTGCTCAAAATCTTGCGGTTTACGGATATGACGTTTTTTGTGATTTTTTCAAAAGAATTTTCATGAAAATTATATTAATTTTTTTTTTCAAAGATTGAAATTCCTAGCCTGTAGTTGGGGGGCTGCAGAGTAATCTCAGGGGTTGCAAATTCGGCCTCCAATTAAGAATGCCCAAATCATATCGTTTTTGTAAAAGAGATAAGACGATTTTTGTGATTTTTTTTGGAAGTTTTCAGAAAACTCAAATTACAAAATAATTCGTTAAAGTGAAATTCCCAACCCTGTAGTTGTATACTTTCAAAGATTGCGAATATTGCCATCAAAAAAGACTGCTCAATTTTTGGTAGTTTTCGAAATGTGAATTTTTTCTGGTTTTAAAAAAATACCTCTTTTAGAAAACTTTAGGTGAAGTTTCTCAAAATCTGAATTTCCCAACGTTGTAGTTGGGTACTGTAAGGGTATTCTCAGAAGTTGCAAATCTTGCGTCCAAACGCGACTGCTCAATTGCTTTCAGTTTCCCAGATGTGACATTTCTTAATTCATTACAAACTTGGATATGAAAAAAATGTCACAAATTTTTATGGTGTTCCAAAATTTGAATTAAAAAATCTAATGAAAAATTTTACAAAATTTGAAGTTACTCTCTGGAGTTGGAAATCTAGCGTCCAAATGCGACTGCTCAATTGCTTTCAGTTTCTCAGATGTGACGTTTCTTTGTTCATTTTAAATTTTTCGAAGAACTTTTATAAAACTTCACAAAATATTATGGTTCTTTAAAATTTGTATATATAACTTAAGAAAATTTTTAATTTCGAACCCTGTAATTGGGTGCTGTCAGAGTACACTCAAAGAATAGCTTTTTGAGTTGTTGAAAATCAAAGCACCGGAGGTGTGCGGTACACGCTAGTATTTGTTTATTATTTGCAAGCAAAAATGTGAAGAAAAAATTCGTTCATTGATAGCGAAAATGTCGCGTGACTATCAAGCTGCATAGAAGACGATCAACATAAATAAAGAAGAAATTTGGGATCTCATTTACAATTCTCGCCCCCTTTGATACCTAGTAACGAATTGGCATTCCTACAAGGAACTATTTCAACGGTTAAGCATATGTGAAGTTTGAAACCAGTAATGAATCTCCTCCCCTTTTGCAAAAGGATGAAATAGTTAATGAGGTCAAAAGTTTGCCGTTGTCTTCATTTGGATTTGGGCTAAATGCCCTAATAACCAGACCAACGCAGTCATTGTTTACCATGGTAGCTGCTTTCCTTCTGTACGCAACTAATAGCTTATCTTTGCATTTGACTGTAAAACGGGATGCTCTAAATTTGATCCCCTGATTCAGATAATTGTGAATGTTTGAAAAAATACTATTTTGAGGTCGACCATTTTGTAAGGTTCAAATTCTCCTTTTTATCCAAAAAGAACCTGTATACCAAACTTATAAAAATCGAGTTGGCTGAAGGGGAGCATGCTGCACTTTTTACCGAAGGGGATCACTTTAGATACTGAGGGGGTCGCATTACTGAGGAGGGGTGCTACTGATTCTTATGCAAATGTGTTGCGCTGCACAAAATTGTGATTCCTATTTTTTGAGATAAATAATGGTTATTCACCACTTACTTCGATTCCAGTTAAACAACTTTGCAAATCAGAACACGCGTTTCATTCTGTCCCATCTGAAAGCCCGAACATCTACTCACAATTGCTCCAAGGAAAATCTGGCAACAAAAGCTGGAGTTTTCACATTTGGTCATGCAGTTGACTTTTTGAAGCAAAATAAAGTCAAAGACGTTTGTGTTATCCAGCACGATTTGAAGAAGACAGACTCTAAAAGATTTGCTGGTACGGCCCCCTACCTTGTGATTGGATCTGGTGTGTCGCAAAGGCATTTGAGTGTCATCGCCGAAAGCTTAATCAAAGAGGTTGGATGTTACTACATTAATGTAAAATGGTATATAAATTTTCTTTTTTGTTGCTGAAAACGAGCGATTTACCAAAGCGAATCTGCTAGCGTAGTTTTATACGGTCAGTCCACCTTTTTATAGCAAGTGCAAAGTTCAACTAATTTCAAGTAATTTTTATAGCAAGTGCAAAGTTCAAGTAATTTTTTATAGGAAGTGCAAAGTTCAAGTAATTTTTTTCAAGTAGTTTGTGTATTTGCTCACTTATGTTTGATGCTGAACGCGTATGTGCGACTTAATTGAGCGCGTAGAATTGAAATCAAATGATGTGCTCGAATAATCATTCCAACAGAATTGCGGCAAGCTATTTTTTCACGATGTAGGGAATCATCGAGAAAAATAGCCTGAGGCAATTCATTTGGAAAGATTACTCATTTTCAATTGGAATGATTATTCAAAGATACTTTTTTCAGATTTTGTTGCTTTTGTAACTAGTACTATTTTTTTCCCGCAAAAACTTAAATTTTACAAATTCATCAGTTTACCCCATTACTATTTCAAAGAGCCGAATTATTCGGAAATCAAAATATTTCTACATGGAAAATTTGAGTTGCCGGGTTATCTTTTGTCTGCTAATTCAACACTGGTTGTAAAATTACTGTTCACATTGAACGATTGTCATGAAAATTAGCATGCAGACTAATTAGGCAATGACAAACATATTTGGTCTTCATAATCAACCTTGTAAAACCACTCGTTAGACCATAAAATTGATGCTCGTGTGAGGTGATGGGGAAAAGAAAAAGGAGCCCACAATTGTTTGAAAATGTTGGTAGCTTTTTCCCGAAAAAATTGTGATATTTTTTCATAAGTATTTCAATTTAGTGACTTTTTTCTCGTTTTCTGTCAGTTAAATTGCGGTAAATTGCTAGTAGTTTGGGTTTTTCCTGACTCGCAAATAGTTCGAAACTCGCCTGTGTGTTGTAGTTAATTTAGATTTTTTCTACAAAGATGATGGTATTTGAGTTCCAAGAAGTTTTGCACAAATTTTGTTTGCGATATTAAAAAACTCTTTCTGTGATTTAAGTTTTTTGAAGTTATGATTGAAAGTAATGAACGTAGTTAGTACTTTAATGTAGGTCTTGTCTCGCTGATTTTTTTTGTTTTTTTTTTCAGGAAAGTCTTAAAATTTTTTCACGCTCAATTTTGATTTTTCACTGTTTGACCTGTGGATTCTTTTTGAGTTCAGTGCATTTTCATTCTTAAAAGGAAGGCACACTCTACTATCGAACAGCAAAAGTGTAAAGGTCACGAAAAACGTGATCGACTTCTGATTTCGAACATGGAATTATTTATCAGATTTCCCAGCGATATAAAAGTATTTCGTATTGATCCCAGTTTTCTCAAATTAGCTTAATTATAGCGAAAGAGGGTCCATCATAAATTTTTCTAGAAATTCAAAGAGCTTTGAGGCCATCTTTTTTTTACTTCGAAATTCAAAAGTTGAAGGCTCTTGAAAATACAAGTAGTTTTTTTTCAGTTTCCTTGCGTTCATTACTCTTTTCCAACTGTTAGTTGTGGCTGTTTTTCATTGTGGCAAGATTGCAGCTTAACGTGTTAAATTATACGAAATTATGATTTCGTTTTAATACAAAATGTGGGCATGAAATCCGATTTTTACTCTTTCGCAAATGATTCCCTCGTCTTTGTTTTGAGTAATAGTCAGCAGATTGATCGTTATTAGTCTTTAAAAAACACAAGTTTTGTTATTCTACAAGTTTTTTTGAAAAATAGGAAATGCGTTGCGGTTATCGAATCTTTGTTTCAAGATATTTCTGTTTCTCTGGCCATAAGATTCTTAGGCCACTCATATTTGTGTTTTTTTTCTGTCATATAGGCATGTGTACCTGAAATAAACACTTATTTTCTGTTTTAACCTCAACTGATTTTCTTTTCAGCAAGTCAACATTCCGAAGTTAACCCGTGATCTGATGTTAACCCTGTTGATCTTGGGTTTTTCTCAAATTTCATTTCCCTACGTGCAAGTGCCACTTGGATAGTAAATTCCTCCATTTTGTCTCAAAAAAAGATTTGAGAGCTGGCTTTGCCTCCGCAAGAGACCGGGAGTTTTCATTCATATTTAAGGAATTTTGCTCCAACTACCTAACTTTGATTGTTCTTTTGCTTATCGAGGCGAAATGTTTCAAGTCGTTTCTCCGTTGTCGGAAGAAATTGACACCATTTCTTGCTTAATTTTTTTTTAGCTTCAGCAACTAAATGTTTCAGACAGTGTTCTGTCTTCGATATATCACTCGGTCTCTTCATTTCGAGACCTCGGCGACTTTGAACAAAAATTTATTTTTCTACTTCTTCGTAGTAAACTTTTTTGTTCCACCACCCTGTTTTTGTTTTTCTCATTGGTTTTCCAGTCGTTTCGCCGCACATTTTTGGCTTCTTCTAGAAGGATTGATTAAAAATTTTCACATTTTGTCAGCAGTTGATTCTTTTCTATCCTGTATCTTCTTGATGGCTTCATTGTTCTTGGTTTTATTTTCTCTTTCATTTTTCCACAATTTTTAATGGAACTTCAAGATGGGATATTTTCGCAGTCAAATTCCCGGCGCCTTCCCTAAATGGAACTTCAAGATGGGATATTTTCGCAGTCAAATTCCCGGTGTTACAAAAATCTTTTTTTTTCGAATCTTCTCTCTCTCTCTACCAACTTGCGATGCGTACGCAGATACGACATTGCACACAGTATGCCGTAATACAAGTTTTAGGCGCATGACACGTTCATTTACTCTAACAACTTTCAGTACTTTTTCAACAAGTCTTCCATTGATGGTTATTGGAACAACATTTGTGCCTTAGAGTTTTGCATAGCTCAAGGCCTTTTCCTTTTAGTGTGCCAACGTTCCGCGAGCATAGTCGGAACGACTTCTTATCTTGGCGGGTTTCTTTGTCACATACATTTTATTATAAGTCAAATTAGTAGATGAATCCTTGAAATTCTTAGTACCCTCTCTACTTAAGGGGCGCACGGGACTGAGGGCTATTCTTGGATGACTTTCCACGAGTTGTTTGGAGCGGTGCCATTTACAGAGCATTTTCAGACCGAAGTCCTTATAGACCGGATGCCCTTCGTGACGTCCACCCTGCTCCTTTTTTCGGGCTTGAGACCGACAGTTCCGTCTTAAAAACAGGACAGACCAGGCGGAGTTTGATCAATTCAAGATGGGGCTCAATTAATATTTTTTGGCAAGGTGTTCACTAAAGCCTTTGTCTAATCTTTGTTCAATTTTGTTCTCAGTGATTTGAAACTTGAGGAAAATTGGGAAATTTTTTTTGCTTCCTGAGTTTATTGGCCTCTTCTGTTTGGTTTAAGAAAGATATACTAATCCGAGCAAATAGACATAAATTAAATAGTAAATTTCATTTCAACCATAGCGCATTTCGAATCCATGGCACCACTGGTGACAGGCGCGCGCTATATCAACTGTGCTATCAGGGCATGTGAATAAAGAATATGAATAGTCTGTAAATCAACGAGTAGTTTGTTTTTCACTTATTTGCTGCTGTTGTTGAACTTTTTCCACCCACTTTGAACCTCGTACCTTTAATGGCCCCTAATGGATTACTCTGCTCACTTGTCCATGTTATTTGTCGCGTATACTAGTTACGGACCCTTTCTGGCTCTTTCCTCCCCCTTCCCCCCTCTTTCTTATGCTTAAATCATAGGGACATATCCAACAGGCATTTCGACCAAAACTTTTACGACGATTGATTTTGATTTTTTCCTGCACATCAAGCTTCACCTAACAGACTGTTTCAATTAGAGTCTCTGAAAAACTTAGACTGATTTTGAGCTAAACTGAGAAAGCTTGTCAAAATATCTTTATGGGTTCGGAATCACATCAGAAAGAGCTTTAATGTGATATTAAACGTGAACCCTTCTAGCTTTTTTTTAGTTGTCAAAATGCAAAATGAGACAGGAAAAATGCACATTTTTTCGTAAAGTTGTTGGAACAAAAAATTATATTCAATTTTCATGATTTTTTGAGTCACCTTTTTTATAGTTCATTCTAAATTATTCTAAAGTGAAAACGTTTAATTGCTCTTTAAGATTCGAAAAATAAATTAAACTGTGTCTTTGTTTACACCATTTTAGTGCGAACTAATAAAGGGTGACTCAGTATGTATAATGAAATTAAGTACAAGTATTTTTTTGTTCCTATAATTGTGCGAAGTTGGAGCCAGTTCAAAACAAGTATTTATTAAATACTTTGATATTTACCAACCAATCATGATCCATTTCTAAAACTTACGATAAATTGTAAAGCTGAAACTATTCACTATTGATAGTTTCAGCCAGAGAATAATTTAAAACAGATACGAATCAGTTGCTCTCTTCTCTTCTCGAACCTCGAAAGAATACCAGTATGTTATAGATCTGTTGAGACAAGGAAATATAAGAGTAAGATTAGGATCGGTATTAGACTAAGAAGTTGCACGAATCTATCCGGCCGCAAATAAGATAGTATGACGAACAGACGGTGTACCTTATCCGAAATTACTATGTGCGAAGGACCCCGGACCTAAACTCAAAGTGATCGCGAGGAAATATGGTGTTGTGGATTTTTCTGGCCTGGTTTTAACGCTCGTAGAGTATCGCATGAAAGTTTTTTGATTGATATTCCTATTCCAAAGAAATGTTTTGTGAATTTTTCATCGTTGAGAAAAAGGTTTTTTTTTTTGTTCCGACTAATTTAGAGCGCTGTTGATTGTTTTCGCTAGGCAATAAATATACAAAAGCTTTGTTTTTTCTTGATATTTTATTAACTAATACTTGAAGTCTTTATCTGCGAAACTCCTCTTAGACCGTGCTTGTTTTGATAGGGAAGCTAATGTTCGCGCTGCCCTCCCTTGCTGTAAAACATGAATAAAAAATTTTTAAAATCTTCTTTTTTGTTGTTGCAAATGGTATATGCTCGAGACTTTCTGTATTCCGTATACTGGAACCGGCTATTTTTTGCATTGGGTATTATACTTAGTGGTTTAGTCTAGGCGTGTCTCTTTTGAAATTATCAGTCAATATTGCCACAGTTCTACGTTCAATATTATATTCGGTGAAAAGAGCCCTCGAAGGTCTAGTTTTCTGCTAGTTATTTTTGGCTGCTCATTATTGACGATTTTTTTCTCTGAAGTTGCACGGATCTTAAAGATACTTTGGTTTCGAGGTTATACTGAATTTTCGTACTGATTTTTCATTTGTGGTCTCCAAGCCTCAATTCAAGTATCTGAGTCTAATTGTGCTAAATTGTAATTGAATCGACCGAATAAACCCTTCCTTGACTATGGAAAGACACGTCATTTCAACAATGCTTAGATCAAAAAGCGTTTTGAGTATAACGACATTTCATTATGTTTGCACGTTTTACACGTTTTAGCGAATGATGAAAAAAGTTAGATATTGAATCGGATTTGCATGTAAATTGTTTCAGTACAAATCGGCGATGGGACCTGAGTTCATGCAATGTAACAGACCCCCAAAAGTGGAGGGAACAGGTGTCAAAAGCAGCTGGATCAGCTGTGATTTTGGTAAGATAATGATTTAGTGTTGTTTTTTCTATAATCTATAAGCCCCCGGCCCAACTCCCATCATTTAGCCGTGGTCCTTTTTCCATGTTGGGGGGGGGGGGGGTGGGGGTAGGATATCTTCTCCCTTGTGCGTGCCGCAGTCTGTGTCTGTCCCACCTTGAGGAGGCGGATGACTCTGTGACCCCTCCAACTGGGACCCTCGAACCGTTAGAATTGTTTTCGCCCGTTTTAGTCCTTATTGAATCTGATCTATCATCTACTTCGAAAATTTGTCAGTGCTTATTGTTCAGAATAAAATCACTTACTTTTTGCGCCATATCTTCTCGTGAAATTTGAAGTAACTATGGCCCATCGGTGTTTTTGTTCGTGAGATTTCACGTACCTGAAAAAACTGGCAAATAATATACTGTGATATTTAATTTAAGCCCTTTCAGTCATAAGTTGGATTTTGAACATATTTGAAAATATATGAAAATGTTATCAGAAATTTATTTACTGTCGACAAAAATTGTTCTGGTTTTGTCTACCACTGTATGAGTGACTCTTGCCGTGAAGGCTTTATCTCCTTCTTGTTTACTATAGCGAGCTGGCGAAAATTGTCTTAATTAATGAGTGTATTTTTTCCAATCCAACTCGCATAGAGTTGTGTTAATTTTAGTAAAAACGTTTGCTGCATAATTTTGGCAGTTTAATAGCAATTTTTACCGCTTTGTCAGTTGTTAATATTTCGATTATTTGAGAGTCAGTGGCACAGTTTAGAGGGCAGTTGTTATAGAAGCTTGATGCCTGCTGTTTGATTTTAGTCCCTCGCTTTTTTATTGAATCTTCAGAACTTCCAGGTTCCTTCGCACTTGGTGCTAGTGCCATATATGCAACTGATAAAAATTTCGGAACGAATTGATTTGTCGGACTTTCGTTTATCTGCTCAAGTTTTGTCAGCTTAAAAGACACATCACGGATTTTTCTTAGGCTATAAGCAAGTTTCATAGTAGTTGCAAGTGTTTTTTATTGTACTTTCAGGGGGACTTAGAATATATTTGTTATAAAATCAAGTTTTTTTCCGGCTCAACTGGTGTCTACTCAGAGATTATCGGCTTCGTTTCCGCTTTGTAAAGTTTTTCCCGGGGCTAATTTAAAATCAAATGTTTGCTTGGCATGTTTGACTGAAACTTCTGTTTGATAAAAACAGGTATTATGAAAATGTATGGGATGGATTTTTTTGTTTCATTTTCTTGAGACTCGTAGTCTGTTTACTTTACCCCTCTGTCTACAGCCTTCGAAAAAGTCTGTGGGGGAATATTTGAACCATATTTTTGATTTGTTCGTTTTACCAAAATACCTCCCCCATCTGCGATTTTGGTTTCAATGCATTGAAAGGGTTTTAGTGGCTACGCCAAAGAAGATATGGTCCTCGGAATAGTCAAGTTTTTTTAATGACGTTTTTTGAATCTTTTTAGCTTTTACTGAATAATAACCTCCCAAATTGGAGATTTCAGGTTCAATGGAGATAACATGTTGTGGGGAACTCTCTTGAATTAGCGGCTTTTCACAAATTTTCCACACAAAAAGTTATCACTCTCGGAAAAGTCAAATTGTTGATTTTTTGACCGTTTTATTTAACTTACCGAATTTTCTCATAAACTACTCAGCCATATTTGAGGTTTTGAGTTCAATTCAAAGAACCGGTTATGGCAAGATCTTTTGCATAAACGACTACAATTTATTTCAGCAATTTGCTTTTACACAAAAAAAGATGGCCCTCGGAAAAGTCAAAACTTTGTTTCTTTGATTTTTTTTTGAAAGTTTCTGACTTTTCTCGAGAAATGTCCTCCCAAAATCTGCAAATCTGAGTTTTATGGTTCAACGGAAAGGTCAAATTTATGATTTGTTTACCGTTTATTGGACTTTTATCGATAACTAGCCTGGCAAATCTGAGCTTATAGCTATTATCGAAACAACAGGTTGTTGAACATTTCCCTTTTTATTTGGCTAAGCCCATTTTTGAGTTTTTAAAATATGTTGTTGGTAGTTAAAATATGGCTTTTTGGAATTTGAATTTTTTTGGAAACTTTTTGACATTGCTCAGAAACTACCGTGCAGAATTCCAGGTTAAGTGTTCAATCAAAAAACCCTGTTTTGGGAATCTGCTAAACTTTAGCTGTCAACAGCTGTTTTTTACAGAAAAAAAGTTATAGGTTTGGGAAAATGAAGTTATTGAACTTCTGTTTTTTTTTTATTTTTCTTAAACCTGAGATGAAAAATTCAATCAAAAGAAACTGTTGCAGTAATTTTTCCTGCAGAAGCGGCGACTCCTTATTTTTGTAATAGAATTGTTATCTCCTTGGGAAAGTTCCAATATCTCAAAATTTTTTAGATGAGAAACAACTAAGGTTGTGGGCAAAGTCAAATTTTTGAAATTACGCATTTTGTTTCGCTTCAGTATGACAAATTCAAAAAGTATCAAATCGTACCTCCAGCTTTAGTTGGGCCCATAGTTGTCTTTTATCGAGATATTTGAAAATTTTTGATTCTTTTTTCTTGTGTTTTTTTAATGTTTGTGTTGTATGGCAAGTGGTGCGAAGCTCCGCTTCGTCTGTGTCGAATTTAAATTCTTTTGAGGAGTTTTTTTTTTTAGTTTTTGAAGATATCGACCTCCTAAGTCTCAATTGTAACAAGAGTCGTTAAAGTTGGCAGTTTTGTATTTGGAGCTGTAGTTGTCAATTTGCTGAACTAATTTATGCGCAATTGTATGCCATAATCCTGCGGCGGTCGAGGTTTTTGGGTCTACCATCATGATTTTCGAAGCTCCGAAAGATCAACCGTACAATTCCCCTTCTATGACACCAACCGTAGAATCCCCAGCCACGTATGAAATTTGAAAATTATTTCTCTGTAATGTATGCATTCCGAACAAACGCGCACATAAAATGTCTCCCTAAATCTGCCCCAGCACGTGAGTTGTCTTATATTTTGATGTTTTTAAAAATAATTCTTTCAACCGAATTGACCACGGCGAATTGGTTTAAATTATGTGTTCAAAAAATCATCTCAAATTTAATAATTGATTGGCCCCAGTTAAGTATCGTATAGACTCAATTTATATTTTTTTGTACTTGTTCTTGTATTGATTTTTTTCATCAATGTTTCTTAATTCCGTTGTTTTTTAACCTTTCTCTGGTGGTCCAAAAACGGCAACAAGTATGCTTTTAAGAGCTACTTGTTGCCGTTTTTGGAACAAAAAAATCAGTTTCAGACCGACCATTGAAATTAGGAACTTTGTCTTCGGGTGTTTTTAGATTTTTTAAGAGTTTTTTTTTGTTTTCCGTTTCATTTAACAAAATAATAATCGAAATGGTTAGAAGGGTGTATCATATTATAGCTCTTTCAGTCGTGATCCGAAAGATTTTTAAAAATTTAGCTTTTAGCTTAAGTTTTCCCAGTGTTGAAAAAAACGTTTTTTGAAATTTTTGAGTTTTAGTTCAATTTGGAACGAGTAAGGCGAGCGAGATCTAATTCAAGAATATTTTTCAAGTGCTGAAAAGTATTGTTTTACCCTTGGAAAAAACTTTGGAAAAACCGTGGCAATACAATCTTTTAGAAAAATCAATAAATTATTCGGCAAAAAATGAATAGTTTTTTTTCTGTAATATTTCTTTCCTTTATGCTTGTTATTCAGTGTTCGAGTTTCTGCTTGTTATTCGATCGATTATGAGTAAATCATTCTCTCATCGCACAATAACAAACTACTCTAATTTGAAAAACAAAATATTTTTTTTTGTAATTTTTCATGAATGTGGTCGGAACTTGCTGTGCTATTGCAAAATAATCGGCTATCCTTGTTTTTAAAGATAAATCGGAGGACTTTGTGCTACTTGCTAGCATTAATTTCGTCTGAGTATGTAGCTTTATTTAAAATCATAAATTTCAAATCAAGAGTTAAGTTCAACTAGAAATAAGCCAGAGACAAGCTGCCTTTAATTTAGCGATAGGACCACCTAAAATTCTATCATTTTTTGAATATGAGCTTGCATGTCACTAAATCCACGAGGAAAGTGACTAAAAAAAAACTGTTCAGCTATTTACGAAGCACTGCTGCTATGCCCGAAATTTTAAACCTGATTGTGTTCATTTGTGATCATGAGTTGCAAATTTGTTTTTGAAAAATTAATGACAAAAATTCAAGTTTTCCATGTTCTGTTTAGGCGACTTTCTGGTGCATGTAATGCTACCTGAAGTGAGAGAAAAATATCAAATTGAGAGCCTGCACATATTTGGACCTGAGTATGACACCACGCGACCAACACACTTATGATTCATCTTCGGAACTGTGAAATTGTTTTGTTTTTCAGAAATTATTAATTGATTTGTGCAGAAAGTATAGTTTTGCTTGAAATGGCGAAAGTTACAGAAACTGTTGTGATGTCAAAATATATATGGGTACAAAAATTGTTTAACAATAAAACATAGTCAACAGATTGACTTATTTCTTTAAAAAAAAAGAATTCCAAAAAGAAAATTCGAATTTAAAAGAAAGAATTAGATGGCCTCAAAGCTCTTTTAGTTTCTAGAACAGTTTTTGATTGTTAGTTTTCTGATAAACTAAACCCAATTTGAGAAAACTGGATCAATAAGTAAATTTTTTACTTCGTTTGGAGTTCTGAAACTAAGTTTCACTTTCGAAACTAAAGTCTATCACATTTTTCGCGGCCTGTGTACTTATGCTGTCCGATTGAGGAGTTTGTCTTCGTTTTCAGAGACAAAAATTCAATTGAATTTGAAGAGAATTCAATTGATTTTATTTATAGAAAGTCAAACCGCGAAAAATCAAAATGAGCGCGAACAAAGCTTAAGACTTTTCCTGAAAAATATAAAACGAAAAAAATCATCACGACCTATACAAGAGTCTGACTTACATTCATCGACTCTTAATAAATCAATAAAAAAAGCTGTTATTAGGCTTTATCTTCCATCAAATTCAGTTTCACTGAAATTTGGAAAATATGGCATGTGGTTATCAGTTTCATCATCAATTCTTATTTGTTCATCTTCATGTTTTGTTTGTTCATCGTCATTTCTTGTTTGTTCATCTTCATTTCGTATTTGTTCAGGTAAAAAATGTTCATTCATGTTCGCTAAAGATGATTCGAAAGCTATTTTTTCCTGTGTCGAGTCGTCACGAAATTTTTCGGCTTCTGTGAATGGAACTGCGTCGTTCGAAGAAGCCGAATTGATTTTCTCTAGCTGAAAGTGAGCTTTGCTTGGTGTTTTTTCTTTTACTTTCTTTCCCCGCTTCTGAAATGTTAAATAAGAGTTGGCGCGGGCTTATGATGAAACAGCAATTATTATGAAACTTTCAAAAATTTTAAATCTGTTTCGTTAGTGAAAATTAATGATCCGTTCAATGAATGAAATGTTTATGAGGGCAGATTTTTGAGCCGGGCAAAATTACCCTTAAGCTTCTGCCTCAAATAAGATCTAATGATTCGAACTTTGGTTGTTAAGTGTGGTTTTCTTTTTGTCGCAAAAAAATCGTTTTTTTTTTCTCTAGAAACAAAATCGCGAAAGGAACTGACCTTGTGTCTTTCTTTTCTGTTCATATCTGGTTCCATCATCAGATCTTAAAAAAATAACAAACTGAAATTTGATAAGCTTTTAAAAAACACAAAGAAATGCCATCGGAGAATGAAGTTTTGATCAACGCATCTTTGTTTTACTAACATGAGGTGTCTTGCTCTGTTTTCTGGCCTCCATCGTCAATTGCAGATTCTGTAGTCTATAATTTTTTTAAAATTTCTATAATAGATGCGAATTTATAATTATCGTTTCAAAATAATTAAGTGATCACAAGTTATACCTTAAAATCCTCTTGGTGATTGTTTGTTTGCGAGCCGAATAAAATGAAAGTCGGTTTTTCGTTAACTCTTTCTGCTGCGTAGCCACGGTCTATGACCTAAATTTCAGAATGGAACTATTACTATGTATCAATGATCGTAGTGAAACCTTTTATATAGGTCTTGAAGATTTTTTTCTTCAGGATAAATCCACGTTAAAAGGAAGAAAAACTGCGCTATCGAACCGCAAAATTGTAAAATGAATACTAATTTTTAGATTCTCCGGCAGAATAAAAAAAATTATCTATTAATTCAGTTTTCACGAATTGGACTAAATTTACAAAAAAGTGTCAAGCATAAACTTCTCTTGCTTTTCGAAAAAATGAAGAGCATAAAAAATATTTTTGTTCGAAAGTAGAAGTGTCTACATGAAATGAAACAAGTCATCTTTTTCGTTTCCTGGCGTTTGATAACACTTTCAACTTAGTTTTTGCTTTGATTAATGGTCACAAGCAATTGCAGCTGTGCATGACTTTTTTATTGAGGTGAAGACTGCGTTTTTTTGATGTACTGAAATTTTGCCGACTGTTATTTTTACAATCAGCAAATTGTTTTTCCCAGCTTGTTCGAAACTCTTTAAAAACTTGTCAATTTTGCCAAACAAATTCTGCGCAACAGCAATTTTTTTGAGCAACAGAGCCAAAAAAAACTAGTTAGAGCCGAACATTTTTTGATTGTTCTTGAACGTAAGTCCCGTTTTTTTTCGCGCTCCCTTAAAATTAGTGTCATATTAAGCCACGGTCAATTATAATTAGTGTCCAATTACATTAAAAGAAAGTCAAACTAAATTAGTGTCAAATAGAAACTTAGCTGTCGAAAAACCATGCCAATAAACCCATTGGAACATTGCATTTTTTTCTTGGGATACCGACCACCTAGGAGACAGACATGTCAGTAAGCAAGAAAAAGTTTTTGACTGCTGCTGTTTTTGCGAAACGAAAATTATACTCAAAGTTCAACTCAATTTAAATAACTTTGATTGATGTAATTAGATGTCAAATTAGATGGAATTGTTCTCAAACTTTCTGCTCACTGACTACAATAAAATGGAGATTGTCTGCTTGCTGGGGGGCGTTCAACAGTGCCGAAGTACAACAGTGCCGAAAAGGCGGAAAATTTCAGAATACTTCTAACGCATTTTCTAAAGAGCCGGAAATTACTGACGCTAATTATCAAAGAAAATGACTTCAATTTTGGCGCCAAGATGTCTGCAACTGCAAATTAAACAATTATTTTGGGGCCTTATTTTTTTCGGCACTGTTGTACTGCACCCTTGCTGGCTGAGTGCGGTCAATTCAAGCGAAAATGTCACACGCAATTTTTTAACAGTTGCTTTTTGATGTTACTCTGAGCTTAAGTTATGAAGTGTTAATGAACGAAGTGAAATTTTTTTTAGGTCGTGCGGATATTTTTTTTAACCAGAAAGCCCTAAAAAATCCACGTTCATTGTTAATTTGTTGCAGTTTAATTTTAAATTTCTGTTCAAATTTTTGTATTGGTTTTTTGGAAAAATTACGCTGTCCAAGAACAAAATGCAATTGTTGATAAACATGTGATTGGCTCAAATTTGCAATAGGAATGTAATTTTTAGTTTTCTCTGCGATATCAAAAATTACCTATTGACTGATCTAGTTTTATTCTAATTGGGTAAATTTTATCAAAATAACGTCAATCATTAAGTATTCCTATAAATTATATATTGTCTAGCCAACAGACAATTGACAAAAAGTCAATAAACCCAAGTAGCTGGTAAAAAATCTGATTTGCTTTTTTTTTGCAAAAATTGCAATTTTCTAATATCCGAGAATGAAATTTAAAAGAAATTACAAGTCAAACTGCGAGGAGTAAATTTGAACCTGAAGAAATGTTAAACTTTTCCTGAAAAAAAACAAAAAAACATCACGACTTATATAATATAAGATTCTGAACTACGTTCATTGACTCTTAAAACATTTTCAAACTCAAAACAAGAAATGTGTTATTTTTCGGTCTCCTGAAACTCATTGACACTTTTCCTGCTGTCTGTTGGCTTGGGTTTTTTGCTAGTTTTTGTATGTCCTTGTATGCGCAAAGCGAGAAAATTCAAACTAAGGGAACTTGTAAGTCCAATTAATCTCTTAAAAATAACAGGATTTTCTATTTTTTTTTCTAGATATGACAGTTTTCTTACATTGAACATTGGCGTCGAGCTTGTAGATGCAGATTGTGGTGATTCAACTCCACCGAGAAGCTCTTTACGCTAGAACGAAAATTTTTTGATTTTGCAACAATCTATTTTTTCCAGAAAAAAGAGGCTTTTGAGATACAATAATGAGACAAGAAGCCAGCTTCAATAATGCTCGTCTTTGAATGTTTTAACCCACATTGTAAAAGGGTTTTCCTCCCGTATGTCATTGCTAGGTTGAACTTAAGTAAAGTATTTTTTGTACCTAATCGAAAACATATATATATCTATATATTTTTTTGTGATTTAAGTTTAGATCAATACGAGCACAAAACAACTATTCGTGAGATATCAACAAAATCCAAAACTGCAAATTCTAGAAGAAACATGAAATTAAACTTCAATTAATTACGTACGTCGTCGCTGGCATCTGGATTCATAGATCTGAAAAAAGTCTCCATCGCTATTTCGCGTTTGCGTTTCCGCCTTGTGATCTGAAACGATAAATTTTATTTCATGTCTACCAAGATGAGGAGAAAAACGTATTCACGTGGTTTTCCAATGCAAAGTTAGGATCTTCGAAGACAGCCGCCTATAGTCAAGTACTTTTTTTTCTTGTAAAATTCTTTTTTGCTCTTTTTGTCATATTCTGCAAAGTTGACTGATTGAAACAATCGGTACTCTTAGCACCGCTACGGCTATTCTTGGGTTAATTTTAACAGTTTTTGACAATCATCGACTGTTAAATATGAAGAAAATTTGAAATGTGGTCTTTAGTATTTGCAATATATAAAACAAGGATAGCCGGATACTGTGTAAGTAGCACAGAATGTTCCGACCATAGTCTTATGAAAACTACGGTTTAGAAAGTTTTTTTTCCAAATTAGTGTTTAGTGTAGTTTTTTTTCTGCTTGGTGTGATAAAAGGATCTGACGTAAAACTACAATATAGACATATTCGACAGTCATAGTAACATAGGCAAATTGTTCAAAACATTTTTGCAGATAAATGAAGCTATAAAAACTCCAAAAACTAGTTTTATTTGCTTAAATTTAAGTATTAAGGTCTTAAATTAGCTATGATTCAGCTGTTGTAAGCCTACTCGCCTGCTTTATTTGTTCGAATTAAGACGAAGAATGAAAAATTTCAAGCCGGTTTTTCTCGACACTGGGAAATTTTTTTGGAAATTTTTAAACGTGGGTCGAATCACAACTGAAAGGGCTTTAATCTGATATATCACTCAATCCACTCCGATGATTATGCCTGATTTTGCGTTGAAAAAAATAAAAACTTAAACACATCCGAATACAAAGTTCAAAGTTCCTCCCCATTTTCCATGGTCGGAACAAAATGTAAAAGTTAAATTCTTACCCCTAATTAGATCCAGTTAAGATTGTCGGCACCATCATTTAATTTGGATTAAAACTATTGGGAACTGCATGAAAAACTCTCTATTCCGATTGGCTGAAAATGTCAACTTAGAACCAAGTTAACATCCTCCCCCCTTAAAAAGTTTAGGCTGGACGAAATTAACTTGGTCCTGTGAAAAATACTTGTTTGTTGTCCGACTTTCGAATAGTAGTGTTGATTTGAAGAGGATGTTCTCTTTCGTCACAATGAGTTGTTCCAGCATCACCAGCCTTCTCGGTGCTTTGGCTATGAGTATTCATTGGTCTGTGCAAAGAAATGCTTATCGCTGACGACTTGCGACTAATTCTAATGTCTTCGTTGTCCAATCCGGTTCGTTTCTCGAACTCAGAATCCAAAGAAGCTCTCACTGTGTTGCTTCTAAAAACGAGAGTTATTCCATTTTTTGATTTAAATACATATTTTGCTATTCGAAAAACTTTTAAAACTGGCTTTTTCTCAACACTTGAATTTTTTTAGGAAGTTAAAAGGTTTTGTGGTACTTGATTTTACCTTTAAAACACCTAAAAAAATTTTGACGGATAGATAATTTTTTAGAATTTAGTCCCGCTTTTTTTCAGGCTAATTCACAAAGTGAAGACACTTATTCAGGCCATGTGTTTTTTCGGGAAAGTCTTGAGAATTGTTCACGCTCAAACTTGACTTTTCGCCGTTTGGTTTTTGATTTAATTTAAATTTTTATTCAATTTCTTTTGCTGAAAGCTCTTCAATTACAAAAACTAATCTAGCAGGGGAAAAAGCGTGAATAATTTCAATTTTGAGTCTTTGTATTATAATTAAATGTTACTTATTGATTAATTTTTACTGTTGTTCTCGTGGCTTCCGTTAAAAAGCTTAATTGTCTCAAATGGCGCCAACTTAAACTTTCAACGCTAGACTTGACTAGTTGAGTTTTATTCCTGAAAAGTCTACCTCAAATTAGACTCTTACGGTCTAACGCAATTGTTTCAAGTGCGTTTTAAATCAATCAGCTAAAATGAAGGCAAATTACGTTCGCTGTAGAGTTTATAGAAACTTTTATCATGTTATTTGGCTTTGTTGTATCATTAAATTATTTCCATTCATTTTTGACAAATTTTCATAAAAGTTATCCTATAAAATATATTTAGAAAGTATCTTTAGAATGTATTTGTTTTATTTTCACGTGAATCTTCAAATCATGCTGAAACCAAAGTGATGCTTTTTTTGATAAAAAGTTTCTTTTTTTTCATTACGAGGCCAAACTGTGAATTTTGGGAATTTTAAGCGGAATCCACAACAAAAACGCTCCCTTTGTTCTTCTTTTAATCTTTCATTTTCTTTGATCGTTCCGACAAAGTTTTAACATGTTCAGAGTCTTGTCTCTGGAGTCCAGGAACAAACAGCCACAAAATTGTGCGCTTATCCAATGCACAGTTTAGCCTCGTAGTGCTTAGGTGGATCAAAAGTACAGAATGAGCCATTCTGAAATTTAATTTGAAAACTTTAAACCTGAAAAGAAGAAAACTGTTTTTCCTATTGCGTTTCGTGAAAAGCTGTAAAAACTAATCGGTTACTCTTCGGTTTGTTTGGTAAACTTTTTCTGTCAATTCATTTCGATTGCGATTCGCAAGCATTATCAAATCGGAATGTAGGTTTTTTTCAGTTAACAAATACTTTAACAAAATCAGTTGAATCACTATGCAGCTGACATGCTCAATTTCATGAAAATTTAAAATTGATTACTGCGTGGGTAATAGTTACTACATGGTAAATTCAGGATAGACTTGAACTTTTTTTAAACTAAGCTTTTTTCAGCTCAACTGGTGTCTGCTCAAAAAATGTCGGACTTATTTCTACTTCGTAAGTTTTGTTCAGTTGCTAAATTGAGTTTCAAATGTCTTACTTGCCATTTTCGACTTGAATTTCCGTTTGATATCGAAATAAGTATTATTAAAGTGTATCAGAGCGGATTTTTTATTTTATTGTTTTTTGAGACGCTTTGGAAAATTTTATTTCAAAAGGGGTATTCTTAAAAATACCGCCAACATTCTTGTGTGCCTGCATACTCCCCTGGTCTTTTTTTGTTTTACTCCTTTATCTACAGCCTTCAAAAAAAGTCTGTAGGAGAATATTTGACCAATATTTTTGATTTTTTTTTGCGTTTTCTCAAAAACTAACCTAACAAGTCTGAGAATTTGTTTCAATGAACAGAACAAATTTGAAAAGCTCCCCTTCATCAGCCGCTACGCCCAACCTTTTTTCACGCATTAATTTATGGGCCTCGGAAGAGCCAAATTTTTCATTTTCGTCCATTTTTGAATCGTTTCTAATTTTTCTCAAAAACTAAGCTCCCGAAACTGAGGTTTTCGGTTCATGGGCAAAAACGGGTAGTGAGAAACCTCTTTTGAAAAAACAACTTTTGATTTTTTGAGCGTTTTCCCTAATTTTTAAAAAAATTTACCGAAAACACCCTTCTTTCGCTGAGTGTGATTTTGGGTTCAATCCACGAGTGAATCAAGCACGAGTGATGAAAAGCTTTTTTGATTTGTGACTACGCTCAATTTTTTTAACACGAAAACTCATGGCCCCTCGGATAAGTCAATATTTTGTCAGTTTTTTAAAATTTTTGACTTTTTTTCGAAAGCTACCCTGAAAAACGTGGGTTAAATCCAAACCAGGTTGGGTTAATTTTTTCTGCAAAGCGGCTACGCCCTTTTTTTACACAAAAAACTATGATTCTCGGAAGTTTCAATTTTCTGATTTGTTGATCGTATTTTGGACTTTTCGACGATGAATATTATGCCAAATCTGATATCATAGATTTTATCGACACACTCATATTGTTGGAAGTTTACCTTCATATTTACGTTGCCCAATTTTTTTCTGAAAGAAGTGTAAAGTTCAATCTTGTGAAAGTTTTGAAAATTTGACCGTTTTTTGGGAGTTGTTTTTACTCTACTCGACGATTTTCAGCTTGTTTTTTCCATAGAAAAACCCGAGTTTGTAAAACCCGAAAAACCCGAACCAGCCTTGAATTTATCGGACTAGAATTGGTTTTACAGAACAAAGTTACGGTTTTTGCAAAGTCAACTGCAAAAAGAAATTTTTTGAATCTTTTTAAAAACTAACCTATCGAATCTGAAATGAAATGTTCCATTGATTTTTAGAAATTTTTTGAATCTTTTTAAAAACTAACCTATCGAATCTGAAATGAAATGTTCCATTGAAAAAAGCAGTTGCTCAAATTTTTACTGCAGAAGCAGTTACTTTTTAATTTTTTGTAAGAGAAAGCTTATGTTTTGGGGAAAAATCCAAAATGTGAAAAAATGTTCTTATTTCTCACTTATTTTATTCGTGAAACAATTAAGGATTTAGGCAAAGTTCAGTTTTGGAAATTACGCGTTTTGTCCCGCATCAGTTTTACAAGTTCAAAAAAAATTAAACACGTTAATCCAGCAGACGAAAACTTTAGTTCACCTAGTTTTTTAACTTTTTTTCGATTTTTTTTTTATAATTGTGTTGTATCGCAAATGATGAGAACATCCGCCTCGCCTCTGTGTGGGATTAATTTTCATCAACTTCCGACGCAATCAAATGGCAATATGAAAAGCATGCGCACCTCTCACCTCTGAGGACTAAGTGTGGTACTCATGATTCTGAGGCCAAATGTCAAGTTTCTTTAAACATGAGTTTTTTGGCTAGTGTCCAAGATTTTTTCAGCTGGATTGAAGATACGAAGTAGTAGCCGAAGAACGGGCAAGTGATTAAGGTTTTGAATTTGATAAATAATACAATTTGTGACGTATGTTTTAATCTTGCTTGCAGCAACTAGATAGAGTCATCTTAACAATTGCTTATTTGGTTTTTCGGAGCAGTTTTATGATTTTGTTTCTATCAGCAAAAAATTCAGGCTGCCTGTTTGGGTATATAGTTGGATTTCATCAGTTTTTTTTGTATGTTATGACCTAATTTTTTGCAGCGGCAGTTTTTATGCACAAAAAATAACGCCTGCTTCTGGAAATTTTGAAAAAAATTTTGAGCCAATTTAGCTAACTTTATGTATGTTATTAGCAATCAAAGCCTCAAAAAAGTTCGAATTTTTTGTCGTGTCAGCCTGAGAAACCTTTGTCCCGTGAATTGTTTTCATCTATTTTAATTTCGCTTGCGATTATCAAGCATTATCCTTTCGGAATATAGGTTTTATTCTGTTTTACTAACTAGTTTAACAAAATCAGTTGAATCAGTTAGTATGGTCAATTTATTTAATACTTCTAGGTTCCTCCCCATTTCCCGGTTCCTTCGCTGAAGTCTGGGATCGAATCTCGAAGGATCTCGTTTTTTTTGCAATTGTATACAATTGAATTTTTTTCTATTCAAAATGAATTGTCAGACTTTCTTTTGTCTGCTCATGATTTGTCGGCTAAGTAACCAAATCATGCGTTTTCCTTGTACTGTAAGCAATTTTATTTGCAGTTGTAAATGCAATAGTTGTTCATTGTAGTTTCAGGGAGGGACTTGAAAGATTTTAAAAAATGTTTCTAAAACATTTTTTTTCGGTTCAATTAGTTTCTGCTCAAAGCTTGTCGGCTTAGATGCCAGATCACTGATTTTTTTTTGCGCTGCAAGCAACTTTCATTGTAATTGCAAGTTTCAGTGTTGTTCATTATATTTTCAATGGCGACTTAATTCTCATAAAGTTTTTATTAAATCGTTTTTTTTTGGCTCAACTTGTGTCTGCTCAAAGATTGTCGGCTTTGTTTCTTCTTACTAAGTTTTGTACCAGTGCCAATTTGATATTCACTTGTCTGGCATGTTCCTGTTATATTAAAGGAAGTAAAATACAAGAAATTTGTGAACAACTTCGGTCAGTTCAGCTGAAGGAAAAGTAATAACAGCTGCATTAGCCGAGTATTTTCTGAACTTGAAATGAAGAGAATTTCCAGTGTATAATCAGACCCTGTTCGCACCGTCTTTTAAATTATCTAAAAAATAATTAAATGGTCCAATTTGGGTATATCGTAAGCCTTGATCATTGTGCTTCTTCTATGCAATGATTTCAACTTAATTTTAGGAGTGTATAAATTAAGGTACTTCCAAATGTTTTTTAAGGTTGATGGAGTAGAGTTCACTTTAAGAGAATTTTCAGAAAAAAAAGATACCATTGAAAAAATGAGTTTTTTTCCAATGATTTCCGCATACGCTATATGAAAAGCAAAATGACTTATTTTGAATATAGCAAATTAATAATTACACCAAAAAGCATACCTCAATTCAATTTTGAACGACTTCTATGACGAATGGAAACTCCGCCTACGCATCAATAGCATAAAATCTAACGCGCGTTAATTGTCCCAATTTGGCCAAACTGATAATCTCTAAACCTGAAAAACTTTACAAAA